CTTTCCCATGCCAACCTTATTGTCATTGGATTGATCTGCAGTACTCTTCTGGGGGGGAAAACAACAACAATCCTTCCTGTGATATGGTTTTAGTCTCAACTAATCTGTCTTTTTGACAGTAAGAGTTGTTCAACCGTGGAATCAGCTGTCTAGGGAGGTGGTGAGCTCTCCCTCACTGGCAGTCTTTACGCAGTGGCTGGACAAACACTTGCCAGGGATACTCTAGGCTGATCTTGCATTGAGCAGGGGGCTGGACTAGATGGCCTGTATGGCCCCTTCCAAGTCTTTGATTCTATGATTATATCTCTTGGACTCCCTGGTTGTCTTGAAGGTATATGAAGGCAAGTCAACTGTAATATGAATATAATCACAAGTAGGGTTGCCAGGTCCCCCCGGGGGACAGGGAAACCCCCGCTCGATTGCCCCATTACCTGCTGGCCTGGGATTGGGCCGCCGGGGGGAACCCCACCCCCAAATTGCTGTCATCACAGCAACGTGCCGGCATGATGTTGTCACCTGGATGTGACATCATCACGCTAGGCACGTTGCGGGGGGTCGCTCTATGATTAGAGAGAAAACTCTATGGTTTTCCCTCGCATCATAGCTGCCCCACCCCCAACGTGCCCGACGTGATCACGTCACTTCTGTAAGACTCCCAATGAGGGCGGGAACTCCCCCGCTGCAGCCCAGGTAGGGACTTGGCAACCCTAGTCACAAGTGATATAACTAGGGATGCTCCAACAGCTGCTACTTCAGCTCACTTCCCATTCACCAGCAAGGATCAGGCAGCTATTTATTTTATTTACTTTATTTATATGCCACCCTTCTCCCCAATGGGGACCCAGAGCAACTTACATTGTTCTCCTCTCGTCCATTTCATCATCACAAAAACCCTGTGAGGTAGGTTAGGCTGAGAGCGTGTGACTGGCCAAGGTCACTCTGCAAGCTCCCATGGCTGGTCACAACTTGTTTTTATGTTTTTCCCCCCCACTAGAGCCAACTACTTGCAACCATCAGAAGCCACCTCATAGCTGATGAAAAATCAGCTGGAAGGGAACCGGCTTCTGAACTCCTGCTGAGAACATTTTGTTCTGTACCCAGCAACTGGGGGAGGGGGGAGATCAAGAGCCAACTCCCAGCTGATCATCTGGAATCTGAGCTCTTGCTGAGATGCAGCAAATTTGGGGATGGGGTGAGGAATGTTGTGATAAGAAACCTAGGTGATCTCTATTCTCTTCTTACCAGATCAAGCTATCGGTTTGGGCTCCAGAGAAAAAAAGAGAAACAAGCTCTTTCTCCTCTCCCTTGCAGTGATCGAAAGCATTGCTGCTGTCCCTGCCCAGTTTGGAGGGGAATAAAGTGAAAGGAGCTCCTCTCCCTTTTGCAACTCCACCAGGTACTTATTTTGCTGAGTGGATGGATCAGAATTAGACTCTCGGTTGATTCTTTAATCCGCTGTGAGTTGGCTTCTGACCAATGGGCAGCTCTGCAATTTTGGGTCTGACATCTGGTGTAAATTGCACGATGCAATTCAAACATATCCCTGATTGGCGCACAGTCTGATTATGAGAGCTGAACAAGGTAAGCTCAACTGCCAAACAGGTTTGCTAAGAAATTCACGACATTCTTGTTTATAACAGTGAAAAAAAATAATATATGTTTTTTATTAAATGGAGATAAGGCAAGGAATAAATGGTTCATTCATTAAAATAACATGTCAAACTTTAGAAGGGAAAAACATTTATTGTTAGGAAAATGTATATGCCTCTTCTCCAGAGAACTGCTTGCGGCAACACACAGTTTAGTACAGGTCACTGGCATTCTGAAAGTGTAGACAAACTGGTCTCAACCCATTGGGAAGGTATAATTCATGACCACACCCTACTTCCTGTTTTTAACAGCCTAATAAATGCTCATTTACCTCATTATTTTGTTAGAAATGACTCAGAATAGGTCAAAGCAAGCAACAGAAGGCATGAAGAATGCAGCAGAAAATATAAGAATTTCAACATGTCGCTTACTCCAGTTTCTCACACCAATGTTTCACGAATTTAGTCAATGACTAAGCGAAACCTAGCTACAAACTCCCTGCAATACTAATATACAGTACTTGAAGGAAGACACAATAGCAAATGATGCAACTTCTGCAAATCTGTAAAACACTGCTCCAAACTATACCTTTCAGAGTAGTATTGTTTTTGCATATACTGCAAATGTGTAAGATACATGTAACTTATACAGTAAGACACAAAATTATAGAATACCTTAATTATTTGCACATGTAGGCCCAGTGATTTCACATACCCATAAAAAGTTGTGTCAGCCTGCAGTTTATAGCTCATACTTGAAATGTGCACTATAAAAGGTATTTGCTAACTGAAACTAACCCTGGGTCACGCTCAGTTCCTAACCAGCAATTCAACCTCGCCCTTGCATGCAGTACAATTATGTTTTAGTGCATTCTATGATTCTAATACATATGTAGCAGTATGATAACAATCATCAGAAGTTGTTTATGTCACAAGTATGTTTGCTAAATGACGACTGAGCCTTAGGAAGCAACAATGTTTACATTTATCTACACAAGGATTCCTGAGTGAGCCTAAAACAATATTACATTATTTCATATTATTTTTCTGGTAAGTAATTACAAATCATCTACTGGAGCTGAAATAAGCCACAGACAACCCCAGGACAACTTAATCATGAACGCTGGAAAGACAAAAGGTCACATATTTTAATGCTGTGTAAATGTTCACCCAACAAAATGAACAATACTTACAATTTCGTCTCATAATCCTTCCAGGCTTTGTCAAAAGGCTTTTTAAGGTCCTTAGGAAAGAGAAAAATACACTTAAAAGCAGGTTTATAATGATGCTATGTTAAAATGTATATACTTAGCATACTAGTAGAAGGAAGGAAGGAAGGAAGGAAGGAAGGAAGGAAGGAAGGAAGGAAGGCCTAACTACTCTTCTACATCACATTTAGGCTGCAGTCACACACATAGTAGGAAGGAAGGAAGGAAGGAAGGAAGGAAGTCTTTTTAAAACTAATTATTTCTTCTCCATGGATCTTAAAGTCACATATCTTAGGCTTTCAAGAAGGAACATGACATATAAGTGTTCAACTATAAAGTTGTACATCGAATTCTCATGCAGATGTTCTAGTACCCCCACAGGAATACTGAAGAGAAAACAGCTGTAGCCCATAAAACAGTGCTATAGTAGTTCACAAATTATCTAACACTTACCCCTTTAACTCCTTTCAAATCTCCCTTTAAAAGGGAATCTAATGTGAAGATGACATTGTGGCTCAAACCTTGGAGCTAGGGAGAAAAAAATCAATATTATGAATTTTCACTACAGGTATCCATTACCATTTTACTTCTACTCACTCAGTGGCACTGAAAGCAATAATTAAAATTATTCTCCCAATCAGCGGCTTACCATAATTCTCATAATCTTCAAACAGCAATAACATTGGAGAATAAATTCTGGAGTCAATTCTTATTTTTTCTAAATGAAAGCTTGAGTTGGCGGCGGCAGAAGTGGTAACAACTTGAAACAATGCCAAAGGGAAATACTAGGCAAGGTACTTTGTCAAGAACCAAGAAAGCTGCACAGATTCATGACAAAAAAAGAGAGAAAATTTTCCAGCTGCTACAGATGGATATTTTTATTCTTTAAAATACCCTAAAGCATTTTGAGCCTTACATTCTGTTTTGAAATGTATTTTTCTGTGTTTACATTTTCCTTTCTCATTTGTTTTCTGCCCCTGCTCATAAGAACATAAGAAGAGCCCTGTTGGATCAGACCAATGGTCCATCGAGTCCAGCATCATGTCTGGACGGCCAACAACAGGGCACAGAGGCCAAGGCCTTCCCCTGATTTTGCCTCCTGGCTTTGGGATTTAGAGGTTCAGTGCCTCTGAATGTGGAGGTTCCTTGTAGTCACCATGGCTAGTAGTCACTGATAGACCTATCCTCCATGAATTTATCTAATCCCCTTTTAAAGCTGTCTAATCCTATGACCATCAATACATTCTCTGGCAGCGAATTCCACATTTTCATCACTCTCATTTACCGATTTACAAAGAGAAAAGAGCTTTAAGGGTTGAAACGAGCTGGAGATTTTCAAGACCTCTAAAACTTCCAAAACAAACATTTGAATATTTCCTTCGTCTTTCTGTTGAGGTACTGCAACCCCATGTAATGGTAGGCAGACAGAGAAAGGAAAAGGGGAGTCATCCTATGTTGAAATGAATCTATAAGTGGTGTTCCTGAGGAGTTCAGACATCTGCATGACTGCAAAAGTATCATACTTGCTACTGTTTTTTATAATTTATAAGAACATTGTTAAAAATGATTGGGAATATTTAAAGGAACAGTGCATTTCTTTGGTGGCAGGTTTGCACTACCTTCGCACCAGAAATATTCAGCAACTTCTTGGAAGCATCTGTGGTATTTTAAATGCTTTAATTCAACAGTTCATTTCTAATTTAAGTCATTTCTATTGAACAAGGGGGGAAAACAGTGCATGCATTTAGCTATCTACTTTATCAAACCTCCACGTTTCACTCACTCATTAGATTCAGGATACCAACCTCCAGGTTTTTTTTGAATTACAGTGACCTTCAGACTACATATATCAGCACCCCTGGAGGAAATGGCAGCTTTGGAGGGTAGACTCACATCCCCACAGAGCTCCCTCCCCTCCTCAAACTCCACCCTCCCTAGGCACCAGCCCCAAATTTCCATGAATTTCCCCCACTGGAGTAGGCAACCCTACTTTAGATTTTGGTTGCCTATTTTGATTGCAAAAATTCCTACAGAGGAACCATGGAACAAATCTAGAACAGAGCTGCTAACAGGTCCAGAATAGGTAACAACAATGGCTTGGATCCTAAGCAGCTTTAGCAGAGGTGCACTCACCATCTTTTATGACTCCCGAAATTGTTGTCTCACGGGTAAGTGCCCCACGGGAGTTCTGATGAGGGGGCTGCATTGAGAAAAAGGGCAGAAATCCCCTTCCCCTTCTTAGACAAGTGAAAGTACCTAGTGTAGTGTTGCCCCTGCCCCCAATCAGCTGGCCGGGGGGGGTCTTACTGGCGGGGGGGGGCTTACTGGGGGGGGGGGGGGCTGCTGTCACTGCCGACGAGGCCTAGGCCTCCCTCCTGCTCCTGGTAAGCCTTCCCCCATCCCCACTATTTGCCAGGACAGACCTGGCAACCCTAACCTAGTGGGAATGGAATGGGAGCTCTGTGACACAGAGTGTTGGACTGGATGGGCCACTGGCCTGATACAACATCGGCTTCTCTTATGTTCTTAAGATCCGAGCCAAAAGCTTTCTGCTTGCTCTTCGGGCTGATGCTGCTGACACGGGTGAGCTGAGCCTGTGGCTTTGGTTTTAGTGCATGGTGAAAAGCCTGCACAGAAAAATGCTAAGAGCTGCTTTTGCCAAGCGGATGCATTGCTCTGCGACCACCCACTCTGCCCCCCCCCTCAGCTCAACATAATCTACACAAGGAACCACACATATGCACACACCCCTACAGTCTCTCATGGAGGACTCCATGAAATGGTGCACTGGCACTCAGCTCAGCAACTGTTCTTTGTAGTTCATGGACTTCACAGGTCAAGCATGCATACTAAGTTAAAAATGACAGTGCAGACTTTCCCTCATCAATGCTGGCAACCAGCCAAAAATTCAGGCTTTGATACCAAAATTCTGGCAACTGGCCCAGGGATTTCCCTACCCCCACCCCACGTTCCTTGGCATAGCTAGATTAGAGTCAGGCTTTAAACAACTTCAGTTTTAATGGAAACTATAATGGTTAAAACTAGCACAGTCCTGTATTCACCAAGGGTGATTTATTTAGCTCGTCTGTCCTTATCCCACATAAAACAATCACATAATCTTGAAATTACAAATATAAGCTTAAAACAGAATGGAATTCACTGTAGTAAGATGTATCTAGTCCAGAATTCTGTTTTATTACTCAATATCAGAATAATCTAAGGCCTCAAACTGATGTACACTTACTCAGGAGTAAACCTTAAGATCTCTGTTGGACTTTCTTTTGAGTAGCACACAGAAGATCAGAATGTACATGAAAATAGTGTTGGCTGAACCCAAATGGAATATTTACAATTCATAAAATATGAAGGTGGTAAAATATGAAAAAAGGACATGATAATCAAGATGAGTGCAATGAGGCCTTGGCCTCTAGGACTTGTTAGTTGGTTCTCCAGAGAACCTAGCTGGTTACTGTGAAAAGGGACACTGGGATAGACAGACCCACTGGTGCGATCCAGCAGGGCCTCTTAGGGTCTTATAGTTCTCAAAAATATTTATTTACAGCCCAGAAAACCTGTTGCAGCAAATTCTGAGTGGATTTTTTTTAAAGCTTGTAATGAATTCTTACTATGCATAGTTAATATCAACAGGAATACATGTGCTTGAACTGCATGTGGCTGCACATTCCATCCACAGTTCACGTAAATTTAACCACTACAGAAAATCTGAAGTTTTATTACCTTTACTTTCTGATGCAACAGTATATTCATTATTCATTCATGTAGAATATATGAAGCTGGTTTGAAAGAAGTCTATGATGGGGCAAGGCCCCAATGTCCCTCTGCATATAGTTTCAAAACGTGCATTGTTGTCAGGCCTCAATCAAGTGTGCACTAGCACTTTTTAAGCATTCATATATCTTCTTATGTATAGCCTGTGTAAATTCCACTGCAGAGAATTATAGTTATAAGTTAACTCAAATATTTTAAAATATAGATTAAAAAAGCTGGAATAATCTCTAGCACCCCAATATGTGCTGTTACTGCCCAAGAAATGTGACATTTCCTCCACATTCTTGCACACACCTGGTACCTAAATTTTAATACTGGATCCTGAAAATTCAGAATACATTCTTTCTAAGTGAATATGCAGATCAGGACTTCTATAATAATCCATTAAAGAAAACAATACTGGTTTAAAATATTTTGAACAAAAGAAGAGCATTAGAAACCCTTACCAGATTTTTCAGCAGCGTTGACAATTCTTTAGTTAGAGTGGAAAACTTTACAAAAGCCGTTCCTAGGTCTGGATTATCCCTACTTAAGAAATTACTTCCAAATTTATCTAGTACTTGTGCATAGTTCTCTTCATTTTGAACATGTTCTGTAGAAGAAAAGGTACAAAATAAATATTGCAGTAATCCATGCCATTCGCAATGACAAACAGAAGCATTTCTCCAAAAGAGCAATATTTTGAAAAAGCCTTGGATGTTTCAAGGTAAGGACACTGTTATTTAGGTTTCTGTAGTCTTCTAAATCTCTTGGGAGATTATCACAGTTCCTTTGGCCTGGAAATGAGGATTGACATTCACCAAGTTAATTTCAGAGAAGGAATTTGAAGAATGGCTTGCAAGTAAGAATGTAATGCAAAAATGACATGTCATCACAAGAATTTCTTGTAATGATACGATAGTTTCATCTGAACCAACTAAATGCCATTGCCTATTTATACAATCAGTATGTTAAGAAAAGACTGCGTGTTTTATGTGACAACAAAATAAATGTGATCAACCTTCTTTGGATAAATGGCTTTGCAGAAGAAAATGGCTAAAAATTGCTATTTGCAGTGAGCTTCTTGGTGGTGTTTGAACACTACAAGTGTTGGTGTTTGAAAACTACAAAGTGCAAAATAATAATAATAAAAAAAAGATCACCAACACCACATCCATGTTTTGACTACCATGGTAAAAAGTAACTTAACCGACACACACATTCTTGGATAAGCTTGGTTTTGGCTTTTTCAGCCCCTTTTTCCCTCACACTCTCTACACTGTACTTTAAAGCCCTTAAATATGCAACGTGTATAATTAAATGGAACCAGCTGTAGTTCTCAAGTAACCCAGCAGACATGATGAATTGATTTTATTATTCAAAACTTTAGAAAATTCACAGTTCCATCCTAAGCAGAGTTACATCCTTCTGGGTTCACTGAGGTCAATGGGCTTAGAAGGATGTAACTCTGTTTAAGATGGCACTGTTGGTGTTTATTTCCTTTTACAAACACTTACACTTTCTGCTAATTTTAGATCACAAATTTTGGAAGTAGGACTAGAAATATGCTAAATATTATAGTGTTTCAATTTGCACATACAGGGTCACACAAACATATGACGCTCCCCAATAAAGACTACTGATTCATTCAAATGGCAGTAGCGCTACCATGAAGTGGAGTTCCCCAGCCTTGATGGAATCCTTTTATTCAAAACACTGACCTGCAAAGATAGTGCATGAGCGTAATAACTTCTATTCATTTTCAACAGCAGAGGCAATTCTGCACATTCATTCACTGCATGTTCCCTGCTAACTTAAGTGCACATGTCCACCCTCCCACAGGTTGGAATCACTGTCAAAATCTTTATTCTAGGAAAATGTGACATAGCCCTCACCTTGATGCTCCAGTCTAGCCCACTCTCATCAGATTTCAGAAGCTTAGCCGAATCAGCCCAGGTAAGAATTTGGATAGGAGACCAACACGAAAGTCCATGGTCTATGCAGAGGCAGATAATAGCAAACCGCCTCTGTTCATCTCTTGCCTTGAAAACCCTACTGGGTCACCATAAGTAATCTGTGACTTGATGGCACTTTCCACATCCATTAAAGAAAACAATACTGGTTTAAAATATTTTGAACAAAAGAAGAGCATTAGAAACCCTTACCAGATTTTTCAGCAGCGTTGACAATTCTTTAGTTAGAGTGGAAAACTTTACAAAAGCCGTTCCTAGGTCTGGATTATCCCTACTTAAGAAATTACTTCCAAATTTATCTAGTACTTGTGCATAGTTCTCTTCATTTTGAACATGTTCTGTAGAAGAAAAGGTACAAAATAAATATTGCAGCAATCCATAGCATTCGCAATGACAATCAGAAGCATTTCTCCAAAAGAGCAATATTTTGAAAAAGCCTTGGGTGTTTCAAGGTAAAGACACTGTTATTTAGGGTTCTGTAGTCTTCTAAATCTCTTGGGAGATTATCACAGTTCCTTTGGCCTGGAAATGAGGATTGACATGCACCAAGTTAATTTCAGAGCAGGAATTTGAAGAATGGCTTGCAAGTAAGAATGTAATGCAAAAATGACATGTCATCACAAGAATTTCTTGTAATGATACGATAGTTTCATCTGAACCAACTAAATGCCATTGCCTATTTATACAATCAGTATGTTAAGAAAAGACTGCGTGTTTTATGTGACAACAAAATAAATGTGATCAACCTTCTTTGGATAAATGGCTTTGCAGAAGAAAATGGCTAAAAATTGCTATTTGCAGTGAGCTTCTTGGTGGTGTTTGAACACTACAAGTGTTGGTGTTTGAAAACTACAAAGTGCAAAATAATAATAATAAAAAAAAGATCACCAACACCACATCCATGTTTTGACTACCATGGTAAAAAGTAACTTAACCGACACACACATTCTTGGATAAGCTTGGTTTTGGCTTTTTCAGCCCCTTTTTTCCTCACACTCTCTACACTGTACTTTAAAGCCCTTAAATATGCAACGTGTATAATTAAATGGAACCAGCTGTAGTTCTCAAGTAACCCAGCAGACATGATGAATTGATTTTATTATTCAAAACTTTAGAAAATTCACAGTTCCATCCTAAGCAGAGTTACATCCTTCTGGGTTCACTGAGGTCAATGGGCTTAGAAGGATGTAACTAAGATGGCACTGTTGGTGTTTATTTCCTTTTACAAACACTTACACTTTCTGCTAATTTTAGATCACAAATTTTGGAAGTCAGACTTGAAATATACTAAATATTATAGTATTTCAATTTGCACATACAGGGTCATACAAACATATGACGCTCCCCAATAAAGACTACTGATTCATTCAAATGGCAGTAGCGCTACCATGAAGTGGAGTTCCCCAGCCTTGATGGAATCCTTTTATTCAAAACACTGACCTGCAAGGATAGTGCATGAGCGTAACAGTGATAACTTCTATTCATTTTCAACAGCAGAGGCAATTCTGCACATTCATTCACTGCATGTTCCCTGCTAACTTAAGTGCACATGTCCACCCTCCCACAGGTTGGAATCACTGTCCAAATCTTTATTCCAGGAAAATGTGACATAGAACCTCACCTCGATGCTCCAGTCTAGCCCACTCTTATCAGATTTCAGAAGCTTAGCCAAATCAGCCCAGGTTAGTACTTGGATAGGAGACCAACACGAAAGTCCATGGTCTCTATGCAGAGGCAGATAATAGCAAACCGCCTCTGTTCATCTCTTGCCTTGAAAACCCTACTGGGTCACCATAAGTAATCTGTGACTTGATGGCACTTTCCACCACCTATGTGACATATGAACTGAACATGAATCTCTTCTGAAACACATGCTTTTAATAAAGACCCTTAACTTTATAACTCTACAGTCTGAGTGATTTCATGAATCTGACCTTTTGTTTTGCTTCAGCTTCCTACAATATTGTATATACTTGCACGTCACCATAGAATTTTGAAAAAATCAACTTGTGAAGAACTAGCACATCTAAGAAGAGCAGCAAAGATTGTCACTGCAAGTTTTGCCTTTTTGCAGCTGCAGGCTATGTCAAGAGTAGCTAATTTTGCCACATAAAGAATTAAACCATTAAACCAGTCAACTACTAGAATGCCAAATTACTTTTGGAGGCTCAATACGTCTAGCTGATTTTAAGCCTGCATTAACAAGAACCATTTTTTGAACTGCACTGAAGAAAAAAATATAACAGACAACATCTCTCCTGATGACACTCAGGAAACAAATGCTAGGAATCTTAAACTCTGCCACAGACACCCTTCAGAAGCAGGGGGGGGGGAGAGACATATTGTTTAGCCTTCCTAGTTGAGTACTAAAGATAAAGGGTCAGACAGACTAAAGGAAGAAAGCAGGGTCATGTGGGTCTAGAACATGGCCTGGTCAATTTGTGGAAAAGACCCAAGTGACTGACAATTACTTCCAGATATCCTCTGGCTTCCTGCTATACCCCTGTAGCCCCTTGGTTTATGGATGAGTTTAGGACAATAAAATGGATTGGTAGACACCTAGAATAAAAAGAGAGGAAAACTCACAGTGAATATAAGCAAACATGGTCCAGGGCATATTAGAAAAGAAGCTTAGATGTTCCAGCTTATGCATTTTTAATATGAAATATTAGATATTCTATTACGAGCTTAGCTCAACAGACAGAACATTGGAAGAGTCTTACTTAATCAGACCAACAGAGTCTGTGTACTGCAGCCTCTCATTTCCCATATTTATTTATTTTTTAAAAGGATTCCTAGAAGGCCTACAAACAGAGCTTGGAAGCTAAAGTATCCCTCTGTTGCCCTTTTCCATCATTTGGTATTCAGAGATACACTGTCTCTGATCATGTCGGTTCCATTTAGCCATAATGATTAATAGCCATTGATAGCATGCTGGCAAACTAAGGGTCCAATCATTGGATTTTTTTTTCCAAGTAAAAATGCATAGATCTGGCTGCTGGAATTTTAGCTACCAGAACAGTGGAAAGCAAATAGAAGGCCTACAAACAGAGCTTGGAAGCTAAAGTATCCCTCTGTTGCCCTTTTCCATCATTTGGTATTCAGAGATACACTGTCTCTGATCATGTCGGTTCCATTTAGCCATAATGATTAATAGCCATTGATGGACCTATCATTGATAGCATGCTGGCAAACTAAGGGTGCAATCAGTGGAAATTTTTTTCCAAGTAAAAATACATAGATCTGGCTGCTGGAATTTTAGCTACCAGAACAGTGGAAAGCAAATAGAGCTAGGACAAACTGATAGCAGCAGAGTAAGAAATGGAAAGTAGGTAAAAATATCTTTTACTGGATCAGATACCATTGTACGTATCACCTATTCTTTGGAACCATCATGCCAACCAGCAGCTATTGAACTAATAGCACTGTAACACATGAACAAAGTGAAGGGGAGAGACTTCCAAAAAAACAAACAAAAAAACTTTTAGCAGGAAGGAATAAAAGCTGCATTGAACCAGGTCATCCAAAAGATGGCTGCATCAACTACTTCATCTTCTACCTGTGTACTTTTTCCACCATTCGTTGCACCGTACCCTTATTGTTTGACAGTATCTCTTATCATACTGCTCTGAATAGGAACGGAAAACAATAAATCAGTAACTTTTCTTTATATGACAACTAAATTTGCTCAATGCTCATACAACTGGCCCATTATTCATGAAGTCAGAGTAACAGCATCAGATTTCTTCATTGTTAACAGCACAGAAAAGTTCTGCAAAAGCACACAGACCTTTTTTTTTTTTAATGTGGAGGCCAAACATTAAATACAAGTGCAGGGCAACCACTATGTTTAATATGTGTGCAATGGTTTACATTGACTTTGCTTTAACTTGTACTGAAAAATGAACATTTAGTTTCAATTTATTGAATGGAGTGTTCTTCTATAAATGTATTAGCGTATCCACATAATACTGGCAATTTCACTTTCTGGGTGTATCGCTTATGTGGTCCTGAGGGGAGGACTACGGAGTTTCACTAACCACTCTCTCACCATTTCCTGCAAGAATTATTAAGGATTTTCTGCTTGTTCCAAATATTTGTTCTCCTGCCTAGCTTAAACAAATGGCATAATTGCATGCATAAACACTATACAAAACTAGCAACCTGCTAACAACAGTTCCAGAGCAATACAAGAAGACGTTTTCATGCAAAGGGACTTTCCTGCTTCCCCCTTCCTGCACTCCCCAGAAGCCAATTCAGAGGATCAAAGACGCTTCGGCAACTTCATGCAATATGGTATATATCAAAGGGGGGGGGGACCCCTCTTCTATTTTGGAAATGCCCTCTACTTACAGAACACAACCTTTGGATTCAATCCTATGCTCTTTACTCAACCCTGATGGGACTACAAACATATAAAGAGGAAGCAAGCAATAAAAAGGTTAAAATATAAATTGAAAACCACGGTGATTGCCCTCTCCCCATAAAAAACCTCTTAGATGAAAAGGGGGGAAAGGATTAACCATATGTCTAAAAGTAGCAAAGCCTGGCACCAGCCAAACTTCATCTGGGAGTTCTATGAGCAGGCAGCACCGCAGAAAAGCCCACTCACTTGGCATGAAAAGGTTGGGGACCCCTGATTTGGGACTTTAAAGGTAACAACAAGGAAACTGAATTTACCACAATGTCTTCCCTGCAGTGAGCTCCAGATACTAATCCAGCTGTAGCATTTTTTACCACTTGAAGTCTCTGAACCGTTTTCAAGGGTGGTCCCAAGTAGACTGCACTGCAATCATCCAATCTGGATGCTATCAGAACATGAACAACTGTAGCCAAATTGTGTCTGCTGAGAAAAGGCTGCAGCTGGCAACCGGCTTAATAAAATAATCAGGGCAAGACGAAGCAGTCATTCGACAACACAGAAAGGTCAGCTGGATTGCTTTTCATAGATGCTGCGGGGGCAGCAAAGCAGGCATGCCTCACTGCCATCATGGCCACAGAGCAGAGATGAAGATCCGAACTGTGCTGGGTAACCGTCACCACATTTCTTCCACTTGCACACTAGCTGACTGCCAACTCATTTTGTTCAGTGAACTAGGAAGCCAAATGCCCTCCATGGTTTGTAGGGGACGTCTAGGAGCAATCACATCACTGAGTCATGTCTGTACTCCGAAGATAAACTAGGCCTTTAACAGGAGTACTAACTAGGTTTTTAACTTCTAATGGGGGGGGGCAGTGGAAGGGCTATTGGAGTTCTGGCCCCACTGGTGGACCTCCTGATGGCACCTGGGTGTGACACAGAGTATTGGACTGGATGGGCCATTGGCTTGATCCAACA